GTGAGACATTTGATACTAGCTGCTTCGTGTATGCATCAAGTCCTGGGGACAGGAAAAGTCAGATTTTATTCACAAACACTATGACTTGATCTTACAGAGTCAAGAGGGTTTGTCACTTTCTTCTTTTTACAAACCAAGCCCATTCTTTGCTGGTTCCTGTCATCCAGGCCCCCTCTTTTAGAGACTGACCATCCACCCGCATTTCACCGGAATCCCTCTGAAACACTTCCTGCTACGGCCAAACAACTCCATCAGTCTTTCTCTTGTCTTTGGATCTTGCTTCTTGAACACAGGGTCTCACCATGGCTTTCCGGTCTTCTTCAGCCATCTTGAGGCGTTTCTGAGCCTCTTCATAAGCCTAGAAGAAGAAATCAAGTAGAGGGTCATGAGGCCAAAGATACCCACATCTCTGACCATTCCCTCAGAATGACAAACGTCCTTCACTGCCCTTCTCAGTGAGGAGCCTCTGTGATTTCAACCAGGCAGGGAGAGCCCTAACCAGAAAGCCCACAGGACCCTGTTGCCCCACACAGAAAGCCTAGCGACAACCCTTGTCTTTCCAGAGACATCTCTGCAACCACATCCAGGTTTATCGTTCTTCAGCTCACCTTCTTGTCTGACCGCTCCAGAACATTCCGGGTCCGGTCCTTGTCCCGTTGACGAACCCGCTCGGCAAAGGCATCCCGTTCCTCCAGGTCCTGAAGACGCTCGCGCTCCGTCCGTTCCCACTCATCCTCTGAGGCTGGCTTGTCCTCCGCGGGTGACTTACTCCCCCTGAACCCAGCCCAGCGCGTCAAAGAGGGGTATCGAGGAAGCTTATCCTCCCTGCAGCCAAACACCTGCTCCGATTCCCTCTCTCCCCGCTTCAGACTTACCCTGACTTTCCCTTTCCTACTTCGGAAACCTCTTCCTCTTCTTCTTCCTCCTCCCCGTGGTGCTTCTTCCTGAGGTGTTTCCGTCTTCTCCGCTTCTTTTGGAGACTGCTCGCGTCCCTGCCCACTGCCTCCTCATCGCTCTCGCTGTCTTCCAGCAACTTATACGATCGGTTCTTCTCCAGCAGGGCGCGGGCCTCTCGCTCAGCTGCCCGAGCTGGCTTTTCCACCACGGCCTTCCGTGGCACCTGCCAGTAGAAAACACGCTGGTGTGGCAGCTCCTGACTTCACCACTCTCGTTTGCCTTTATCTTTTGTTTGTTTGTTTGTCTTTGTTTTTAGAGACAGGGTTTCTCTGTAGCTTTGGAGCCTGTCCTGGAACTAGCTCTGTAGACCAGGCTGGCCTTGAACTCAGAGATCCACCAGCCCCTGCCTCCTGAGTTCTGGGATTAAAGACAAGTGCCACCACTGCCCGGCTCATTTGCCTTTATCTTAAACCAATCTTCATCATTCTCTGCTCCATGTTCTCAGCTCAACAGGGCCCTTCGCTTCTGAACTTCCTTCCGGGAACCCATCTATCAAATGATTATTAAAAACTACCCTATGGTGGAGAGCGAGACTCAGCACCCACAGGCTGTCCTCTGATATCCACACACAATGGAATTTTTTGAAACTTTAATGATTATTTTTACTTTTATGTGCCTTGTGTTTTTCCAGCATGTGTATCTATGTGAGGGTGTCAAATTCCCTGGAACTAGAGTTACAGACAGCTGTAAGCTGCCATGTGGGTGCTGGGAATTGAACCAGAGATCTCTGGAAGAGCAGCCAGCGATCTTGATCTCTGAGTCATCTCTCCAGTCCCACAATAGAATAAAAAAAAAGGCTCAGAGTTCAAGTAGTTTACATTCCACAACCCACTTTCTTTTTAAGATTTATTGTTATCCATTTATGTGTATGGGTATGGAGCCCTGGCAAAGGCCGGAAGGCGCATCAGATCCCCTTGGAGCTGTAATTACAGGTCGTTGTGTGCCACTAGAGCTGGCTGCTGGGAACTTAAGTCCTCTGGAAGAGCAGCAAGGGTTTTTAACTGCTAAGCCATCTCTCCCAGCCTCCATCCTAACTTTTAATTGCTAATTCCCATAGCTCTGTTCTCAGTGACTTTTTCCCAGGACTTGAAACTTAACCCAAGACTTACTGTATGCTAGACAAGACTCTACCACCTGAGAGACATCCTCAGCGCTGGAGTATGTGGGTAACTAACAAGGGCTCTAGGTTTAAAGACGTTCGCAGATCCCTCTCTCCTAAGTCTTCTCCACAGAGCTGTATGCCCCGCACCTACCACAGTAGCTAGGTAACGGGAGAAAGACAGATGTTTGGCGGAGCCAGGAATGGTGGGTCTCTCTGCAAGTTCGAAGCCAGCTTGTGTACTACATTTTCAAAGTTCCAGGCATCCCTAGAAGAGACAGCTACACTCGGTCTCGAAAAGCAAGATGCGTGTACTTGAAGCGGTCCCCCTGAGCTGCGAGTGGCCCGCCCCGCCCCGGCGGCACACACCTTGCTCCAGAGCCTCAACGCGAAGTCCCGTGCCGGCCCTCCCAGGTCCAGCGTTTCGGTGTCGCGCAGGCGCTGCACAAACTCCTCAGCCGAGGCGCAGCGCTGCGCCGTGCCGATCAGGAACTGCGCGACGTGCCGCTCGCTCAGCCCCAGCACCGAGTGCAGCTCCTCCTGCACCCATCGCTCCAGCCCCGCCGGCGTCGCCATGGCGACGCGTCCCGCTTCGGGCGCGCAGGCTGCAGAGCAGCCAGGACGGCGGCGGGGCCAGGAAGAGATCTGCAGCGCCACGGGCCCGCGCCGGCGGCCGTAAACAATCCTAGTCCAGAGTGCCGGACTGGGTAGCCCCAAATTGGCTTTCAAAGCCGCGAAACCCGGAAAGAGTCGAGCTCTTCCGGATCGAGCTTAACGGTGGCTGGGAGGGTTCAAATCGCGCAGGCTCTTTGCGGACACTCCGGGGACCAGGTTTTCAGACACAAGCCCTCTGTTGCCCCCTGATGGTCGGTGCGCAAATGCTGCTCTCAGTGAACACAAGGCCCTATGTAGGAGACTATCCCATCGCGTGGGATAAAAGGAATAGGTAGGAATCAGGTTTAGGAAACAAGACATATAATAAGGTGCTGGGGAAGAATGCTCGGAGAGCTCGAGTTCGAGTCCCAGCGCCCACATTTCCTCGTAACCACTTGTAACTCCAGCTCCAGGGGGATCCAACACCTCTGGCCTCTACTGACCCCTGCACTCGTGTGCACATACACACAAGCGCATAATTAAAAATGTTAAAAATAATTTAAAGCTACTTAATAGCAATATGTAAGTTGGGTAGGAGTTCTGATATCTTAATTTCAAAAAGTAAGGTGTTTATTTTATTTATGCACCACGTGTGTGGAAGAGCCCTTTAGATCAGGGATATGGTGTCTCTCTGGAGCTGAAGTTACAGACAGTTGTGAGCTGCCTGATGTGGACCAAAAGCAGGTCCTCTGAAGGAGCAGCAAGTGCTCTTAACCACTGACTCATCTCTCCGGCCCCTCTTTCTGATTTTTTGTTTATGTATATATAAAAGTTTTACTTGCAAGTATGTATACCAGACAGAAGCCTGAAGAGGGCATTGGCTCTCTTAAAACGATGGTTACAGATGAGCCACCATGCAAGGAGATGCTCTTAACTGCTGAGCCGTCTCTCTCCCCAGCCACGCCCCCTTTCTCTCCAGCCACGCCCCCTTAAGCAGGGTCTCAGGCAGCACCTGCTGGCTTTGTGAGTACTGCTCAGCTAAAGACAACCTCGAACTCTAAATCCTCCTAACCCCACTTCCTAAGTGTTGGGATTATAGACAGTATCACACTTGGATGAAATATGTAATTTCTATACAAATCAAAAGTAATGAAAGGTTGCTGGTACTGATGTTGGGGAAGAGTAGCCAGTGTCCTGAGCCATCTCTCCAGCTCCTATATGATTTATTTTTTTGTGAATTTTTTTTCGAGGCAAGGTTTCTCTGAGCATTTCTGGCTGTCTTGGAACTCACTCCTTAAACCAGACTGGCCTCGAACTGAGAGAGATGTGCCTGTCTCTGCTTCCGAGTGCTGGGATTAGAGGCGCCACTATCGCCCAGCTGTGAATGTTTTGACCACATGTACGTCTGTGTACCATATGTGTGCGTGGTGCCCAGGGAGGACAGAAAAATGTCTGGTTCCATGGAACTGGATTTACAGACGGCTGTGAGCCACTCTATGGGTGCTCGGGACTGGAGCTTGGCCCAGCAAGAACAAGTGCTCTTAACTGCCAGGTCATCTCTCCACCCGTCCTTGTAAAGATTTTTTTTTTTTTTTTTTTGAGACAGGGTTTTTCTGTGTAACTTTGGAGCCTGTCCTGGAACTCACTGTGCAGATCAGGCTGGCCTCAAACTCACAGAGATCTGCTTGCCTTTCAGAGTGCTAGAATTGATGGTGTGTGCCACCACTACCCGGCAAGACATTTTTTTTAAAAAGCCAGATGTGGTGGTATAAGCCTTTAATTCCAGCACTCTGGAAGCAGAGGCAGAACCTCTGAGTTCCAGATCACCCTGTTCTGCACAGTAAGTTCCAACCTAGAACCTCTGGGTTCCAGCTCACCCTGTTCTACACAGTAAGTTCCAACCTGCCAGGGTCACGCAGTAACACCTACTCTCAAAAAAAGGGTGGGGCGGGGGGTATGGTGAGCTGGAAGCATACAAAACATAATTATACACAAAGTAAGTTAATTAATAAAGAGGAAGAGACCAGGCGATGATGGCACACGCCTGTAATCCCAGCACTCAGGAGGCAGAGGCAGACAGATCTCTGTGAGTTCAAGGCCAGCCTGGTCTACAGAGCAAGTTCCAGGACAGGCTCCAAAGCTGGGGCTGGAGAGATGGCTCAGTGGTTAAGTAGTGCATCAGTGACTCTTCTAGGGAATGTTTGATGCTCAGCACCCAGACAGTTCCAGGGTTCCAGGGGTTCCAACGTCCTCTGGCCTCCACAGACACCACATACACGCAGGCAAGACACTCATTCACACAAAATGGAAATAAAGGAAAATTTAAAAAGAAAAAAGCAGCAAGAGAGTTGAAAAGAGCTCCATTTTATTATGGAAAGTTACAAAAAGAAACAAATCAGGCAATTAATAAAGGAGCAATAGGCGAGAAACGAGGCACCTCCTTTAGTGCCCCCCACGCTGCAATTCAATTCAATGTGAACCACGTGGAGGAACAGAATTAAATAATTCTCATGGGGTTCAGAATTAGGACCCCTCAGCCTTCTCTCTTGGGAGAAACTGAGGCACAGTAATACTGAGCAAAGGTGAAGAAAGCCACACACACCTCCCCAGGTCACTCTCAATAAAACAAGAGGAGGGTAGAGGATTCCTCAGGAAGCCGGGTAGGCAGAGCTTGTAAACCTGGGACTTTGGCAGGCGGGACTGGGAGCTGGTGGGTATGTAAACCAGGCTGTGATCAAGGGAGGAGGAGGAGGCTGTAAACAAAGGGGCAGTGACCTAGGAAAAGGGTGCTTGTGGATGGAGTGGGATCAAGACCTCCCAGGGAGGTGAATGCTTAAATCCTGAGTGTCCCCGGGAGTGGCAGGAAGTCAAAGGCTGTGGGGACAGTGTACCCTGTCATGGGGCTGGAGGTGTTCCATCTATCTCAAACCCAGGTGAACCCTGTGTTCCGCCCGAGGACCTAATGCTCACTGTTAGCTCACGGAGGATGCTCCAGCCCACGTGACCACTCCCACAGGGAACCTTGGGGTAGGGGTAAATATAGGCTACTGGCTCTGCCCCAGAAACGGGATGGGAGAAGCAAGTTGGAATGTGCTCACAGCCCCTCCCTGTCAGGCTCATTGCCAGAGTCTGTCGGCTCTGAATCTTCCGAACTCCAGGATCTTCAGGTATGGGAAGCGGGGAGGTACAGGCCCAGACTGGAAGATGGTCACCGCCGGCAGGACTCATCTACAAAAGAAGGAGTGATCAAGACAGCGAAGTGGGGAGAGCCTCTGCCACCAGCCTCCCCACGTAACCCAGAGCTGAAGAGCGGCAGGTAGAAGTCCTTCACAGTGTGTGCGGTGTGTGTGTGCCTGTCACTAGCAGTTAGCTGCGTATCTTGTTTGATCTCACAATCATCTCAAGCAAAGGTGAAGTAATTTATTATCAGTCCCAGGTGCTTTGCAAAAGCTTTCTTAATTTTTTTTCTTCTGTTTTTTTTAAAAAATATTTATTTATTTATTATGTATACAATATTCTGAGGGCACCAGATGTCATTACAGATGGTTGTGAGCCACCATGTGGTTGCTGGGAATTGAGCTCAGGACCTTTGGAAGAGCAGGCAATGCTCTTAACCTCTGAGCCATCTCTCCAGCCCTCTTCTGGTTTTTCTTTTTTTTTTTTTTTTTTTTTTTTTTTTTTTTTTTTTTTTTTTTTTTAAAGATTTATTTATTTATTATGTATACAACATTCTGCCTCTGCCCGCATGCCAGAGGAGGGCACCAGATGTCAGTACAGATGGTTGTGAGCCACCATGTGGTTGCTGGGAATTGAACTCAGGACCTCTGGAAGAGCAGCCAGTGCTCTTAACCTCTGAGCCATCTCTCCAGCCCCCTCTTCTGGTTTTTCAAGACAGGGTTTCTCTGTAGCTTTGGAGCATGTCCTGGAACTCACTTTGTAGACCAGGCTGGCCTCCAACTCAGAGATCCACCTGCCTCTATCTCCTGAGTGCTGGGATTAAAGACGTGCGCCGCCACCACCCGGCACTTTCTCGATTCTTCCAACCACCTCAGGAGGTAGTGATCTTATCGAATGTTCATGCACTGGGATTAAAGCAGGACACACAGCCTTGTTTGTTCATTCGTTTCAGACAGGGTCTCAATCTGTACAGCCCAAGCTGCCCTGGAACTCATGGTGTAGACCAGGCTGTTCCTGTACTTCTACATCAGCTTGAGTGGTAGGGTGACAGGATGAGCCACCACACTCAGTTCTAGGCAGCGATCTTACCACTGAGCTACACACTCTGAAGCCCAGGACACAGTTACTAACTATATTTTAAAAGAATGACAAAATGCAGCCTGGTCCACAGAGTGAGTTCCAGGACAGCCAGGGCAACCCAGAGAAACCCTGTCTCAAACCAGCAAAGAATGATAAAATGAAGGCTGGGGATATTGATCAGAGCACTCGCCTAAAATGCTGAAAGCCCTGGATTCAATTCCTGGAGTGTGGGCGTGCACACCCCACACAAGATAAATTGAAACTAAGCCCAGATGGATCCGGGATCGCACCGTAAGTAACAGACGAGCTGGAATTCATACTCCAGGCCGTCTGACCCAACTCGGGTATTTTTAACCAGACTGGAGATCTGGAGAACCAGCGAGCTCTGGTTTTGAAATCTGGAGACTCCATCTGCAGGAGAGAATCAGGCCAAGCACCTTCAAAACACCACACCATGGACAGCAGGGGGCGCCCTCCGCCCGCCAGCTGCTTACCCACGATTAGGGCCTTGGTGCGCAGCCCGCCCTGGAGCCCAGGCTGCAGTAGCAACTCCTCTTCCTCCTCCTCGTCGTCGTCATCAGGCTGTGACGCCAAGGGGGTGGGCGCGCTGGGGGTCTCAGGCTCCGGGCCCAGATCCTCCAGTACCGAGCTCTCGGAAGGGTATTGGTACGTGGTCTCCAGGGCCGTCTCACTGAAGGAGATCTTGAGCTGAGGGTGGGAAGAGAGGGGAGAGGAAGCAAGTTCATTACTAAAGCACCCCAGGGAGGGAGGGCGCAGAGAGCAGATTCGAGTGCAGCTGGTCTTAAGCACCCCAAAGTTCGTTGTGTCCACCCCTACCCCGTTCCAGTTGGGGATTCGACTTTCTTTTACAGCTTGATTTTTTTTCCCCCTTCAAATGACATCAAACAAAACAATGGCTCAGGGGCTGGAGAGATGGCTCAGAGGTTAAGAGCATTGCCTGCTCTTCCAAAGGTCCTGAGTTCAATTCCCAGCAACCACATGGTGGCTCACAACCATCTGTAATGGGGTCCGGTGCCCTCTTCTGGCCTGCGGTCATGCACACAGACAGAATATTGTATACATAATAAATAAATAAATAAATAAATATTAAAAAAAAAGAAAACAATGGCTCAGTAGTTAACAGCACTGGACGCTCTTCCAGAGGACCTGGTTCAGTACCAGACCTCTCGCAATCATCGTGTTCCAGAGAAAACACGACTGAGGCCCTCTGCAGGCTCCAGGCATGCATGTAGTGCATAGACACATACAAGTAGGCAAACACTCAGACACATAAAATACATAAGTATTTGTTTGTTTTTCAAGAGAGGGGTTTCTCTGTGTAGCCTTGGCAATCCTGCAGCTCGCTCTGTAGACCACGCTGGGTAGGGATGTAGAGGAGGCCAGAGGATACCCACAAAAAGAGGCAGGAGGAAGCAAAGGACCAGAGAGAGACAGAAATCCTTAAAAACACAGGCTGTCTTCAGAGTCCTTCCACCCTTCCCTTTGCCCTCCTCCCCCGGGAGGACACAGTGGGATTAGCCCTGCAAACTGGAGGGTTTAGGGAGATAAACAGGTGATTCCAGGATGTCTGTGGCCCTTACCCCAGGGCCTCCATGTGACCTCCCGTGTCTGCAAGTCTTTTAGGGGCTGAATGAGAGAGACCTGACACCTCGGTCCCTAAGAAAGGGTCCAAACCCTAACCCTGAAAAGGCTTCTTTTTGGTTGCTGTTGTTTATTTCTTGAGACAGGGTTTCTCGGTGTAACAGCTCTGGCGACCAGGCTGGCCTCGAACTCACAGAGATCCGCCTGCCTCTGCCTCTGCCCAGCTGCAATGGCTTCTCATTTCATCTCACTTTGAACAACATCCAGAGCCTACACAAAGGCAGCAGGGTGATTTCCTTCCAGCTGCCCAGATGCACTTCCGCCTCTGGGCGTCTGGGAGACTCTTCCCCCAAATATCCCCCACACTCCTCTGCTTCAGGGCATCCTGTTTGGAAGTTGCCACACTTGCATCCTGCTCTATGTCCTGATCCTATTACACATACCCTAGTACTAATATTTGCATAAACACTAATCTCCTTACCCGTGAAAGAACCTGTTACTATCTTGGGGGAAGCCAAGCAGCGGTGGCGCACTTAATCCCAGCACTCGGACTCGGGAGGAAGAAACAGGTGGATCTTTTTGAGTTTGAGGCCAGCCTGTTCTACAGAGCGAGTTCCAGGGCAGGCTCCAAAGCTACAGAGAAACCCTGTCTCAAAACAAAACAAAAACAAAACAAACAAGGGGGGGGGGGCTGGAGAGATGGCTCAGCAGTTAAAGAGTACTGACTGCTCTTCCAGAGGTCCCTGGTTCAATTCCCAGCACCCACATAGCAGCTTACAACTGTCTGTAACTAAAATTTCAGGGAACCCGACACCCTCACATAAACATACACATCAATGCACATAAAGAAAATCTGGGGGGGGGGAGTTTATAGTAAAACCTCTTCACACACAATGCCCAAGCGCTCGGATCCTTACATAAAAAAAGGCACAGTGTTGCATATGACTCACGCAGCCACTCCCATACATTCTCAAGTCTATTACGCTTTAGAAACTTTTTTTTTTCCCTCCCTTTTTTGCTGGCATGTAAGGGCACCATGTGCATTCAGTGCCAGAGATGGCCAGAAGAGGGCATCAGATCTCCTGGAACCGGGGTGGAGGATGGCGAGCCACCGCTTAGTGCTGGGACCTGAATCCAGGTTCCCTGCAAGCAGCCAGTGCTCTTAAAGGCTGCACCAACTCTCCAGTCTTTTTTTTTTTTTAATTTTTTATGTCTGAGACTGGAGTTCACTAAATTAGCCCAGGCTAGCCTTGAGCTTGACACCATAGACGGAATTACAAGTCTGAACCACCAGCCTGGAGGGCCTGAATATTTTCGGTCTGTGCTTAGTTGAAATCATGTTTGCAGAAGGCTGACTGTACGTGGCTACTCATGTCCGTGGTTGCCAAGAAAGGAGTTTACAGGTTGTCACATTGCCTAAGGTAAAGGTTTGTCTAGACATCAGGGGAGGTCCCAACAGAGGAGCAAGGCTGTAGAATAGAGGGACAGCCTCCAGATGGCTCACACGCCAGCATCTGGAAAGGGACCCATACTGGTTCTGTTGCTGCCAGCTTTGCTCAAATTTGTAGAAGCCCATCCTCTCTCCTTTCCTAAGCAACCCCCCATCCCCACGCCAGACCTGTAGTTTATCGTTAGTTCTGTAAAACGGTTCTTTTCGTCCCTTCATCTACTTCAATATCTACTTCTGTCAACCGCCCCCCCTTGCCTCACTTCCCCCCAGCTTCTGACTGGGCTTCTCAGGAATGCATAACCCGAATGGGGCGCGCGGGGGGGGGGGTGCGCAGAGAGGGAAGTGACTCACTGGAACCTCTCTCATCAGCTATATAAGGTCACAAGGGGGCCAGGGAAGGAGGGGCAGGTCTCTAGCCCAAGAGTCTGCAGGGGCAGAGCACCAGCTACCAAGGCAGGCGTGGTGTCTCTCGTGGTGGCAGGAATCAGGTTGATGAAGCAGCCTGAAAAGGAACTATTCAGGAAGGGTGAGGGACGAGGGGCGGTGGTCATGGCTGGGACAGCGCAAGGCAGGCACAGTCATCCTTGCTGAGACTGTACAGACAGACAGGGTTGGGAGGTGCAGGTGTGGACTTAGAAAGAGGGCTGAGGGAGGTAGACAGTCATGCCTAGGGAACTTGGCTGCCTCCTCCCCACCCCCACCCCAGTGAGGCTGTTTCCTGATTCTCTCACCACATCCTGAGCACAGCTCTGGCAGGCCCCCAGGCCCAGTGTTCCCACTCTGTCCCACCAGCCTTCCGGCCCCCACCCCAGGCTTCCTGTTTGGAAGGTCTACTTCCGCCCCTCCTACTTGATGACCTAGGTATGGTGACCATCACAGGTCCTGCACCGCACCTAGGCTCCTTGGCTTCCCCCAGATGGTTCCTAGGTTTGGGCCACAAAGCCTTGAGCCTCCCTCTGCTCACTTCCCAAAGTCACAAGCCAGGGAGGAAGTGACTTTTCTGCATGCCTCACCCTGGGAGAATTTCCTTTATATCTGCCAAGTACAGAGAAGAGAGGGCCAATAGGAGCCTGAGGGCTCAGGGTGCACTCCTAGGTGCCACCCCGGGAGGGCTGGAGCTTTAGTGAAGCTGGGACAGAGGTGAGAGAACAAAAGTCATATTCAATAATGCTATCGTGACAATGAATACTCTGTCCATAAATTAAAAACACAAAGATGCATGGGGAGAATCAAATGATCCCTGAGCTCAGCCCTGATCTTCGGGCCTTATGATCTCCTACTGACACCAAACACACGCACACGCACGCACGCACACACACACACACACACACACACACACACACACACACAGGTTACAGAGAATAAGCAGGAGCAGGCGTCACGGGCAGGCCCTGGGAAGATGTGTGTTGGGTGGGGAACCTTTGGGTCTGAGGCGGCTGAGTGTGGCCCTTTCTTTCTCCAGAGATTTTTCTCACATAGAAAACTGATTGGTGCTTAGGAGGCAGGAGCTGGGCCGGGGCCAGAGGGAAAGTTACCCTGTCCAGTGTTTCCTTGCAGGTCTGCATTCCAGTCTAACCTCTGACCCTCTGCTGGCCTCGGCCCCACCCCCGCCCCCAACTCCCACAGGGCCAGGGCCAGTCCGTGTTCAGTTCAGTGCAAGTGAACTTCTCTCTTTTTCTACCCCAAGGGGAGGGAGAGGCCAGGGGGAGGAGGGACAGAGGGGAAAACCAAGGCTGAGCCAGTTCTGTGGGGGAAGGGAAGCCCAGGGAGGAAAGATGGGGGAAGGGACTGGGATATTTTGGAAGAGGAGAAGGCTTTGCTTGTCCCCAGAGAAAAGGAAAGCACTGTCTAACATTTGCCCAGTTGGGGGGGAACAGGCAACCCCGAGGTCACCCACTTCAAATGGCCTCTGTATGCCTTTCCGGGGGGGGGCGACTTGGGGTCTAAAAGCCTCTTCTCTGCTCTTCAGCCAGCTCAGCTCCATCTCACTCGCCCCTCTGTCCTGGGATGTCCTCGGGTAGGTCTGGTCTCCTCTTTCGTGGGGCTGAGACGCTCATTCCAACTTCCCTGAACTTCTTGCCTCAACATTCTCTGCCCTCCCGGGTATATTCACCCCGTTTTCACAAAGGTAGTCTCATCTCTCATACCAGCCGGGCTTGCCTGGATCAAAAGCTCAAAAGGAAAAGGAGGACTGAGCATGAGGGAGGGAGAAGGACCAGGGCCGGACACACCCTGAAAACCACACACCCCAACACAGCTGTTGACTGCTGGGCAGAATCCTTGGTGCTCTGAAATGAATGGAAAGGAGGGATAGCCGGAGGAAGGGTGTGTGTGCAGAGGGAGGAAGGGAGGTGGCAGGAGTAAAGAGTAGAAGACAGGAACATTTAAAAAGCCATCCAGTCAGAGCTAGAAGGAGACTTCTACGCAGTCAGGCGTGGCAGCTTTCCTACCTGTTTGTGATGTCTTTCAGGGGACCCCTTGACAAGGCAGCTGCGGCTGAGACGGAGGTAGCCCCCTAGCACCAAGATCTCCTCAGCAGTTGGGTACCGCTTCTTCCCGGATCCAGGCCCTGCAGCATCAGCTGTAGCTGAGGTGGCCGGTGGGGCTGGGCTGGCAGGGGGCACACACCTCCGTGGGTTGACAGTGAAGGTGTGTCCGCTACGGCGGGGGGCCCCCACCCCCGGTCCTGCCTTCACCCCATAGAACAGACGGCTCATGAGGGGATCCCCAGGGGGCTGGGGGGCAGTTGGGGCTGGGGGTGGGGGAGACAGAGGGGCTGTCTTTGGGGGCCGGGGTTCTGCTGCTTCCTCTTCCTGCTGTCTGGAGCCTTCCGTCCCTGCCCCGGCATGCTCTGGTGGGAGGGGGGAGGGCCCAGAGCGGAGGTTCTGCTGGGCTCTCAGAGGCCTGCTCTGAGCCCCCGCCTCCTCCTTAGCCTCCTCTTCAGCCTCCAAACCAGAAGGCCCCAGGTGCTTCTCTGAAGATGCTGGAGGATCCGGCTTCTGAGTTCGTGTCTCTATATCCCGGAATTCTCGGGCTTTCCCAGAGTTTAAGGTCCATTTCCAGCCTTCTGTGGGTCTTGAGATCCTGTCTCCATCCTCCACAGGGCTAGGTCTCCCCTCAGCAGCAGTCTCCACTTCTCCAGAGATGGTGTCTTGGCCCTCTTTTGTCACTGGAGAGTGTTCTAGGACAATCCCCGGACTCGGTTTTTCTTCCTTCCTCCCACACTCCTCCAAGTAGTCTTTCCCCTCGTCTCTTGAGTTCAGTCTCCACTCTGTGGCCTCCAGCTGTATTGAGCTCTGTTCCTGGGGTTCTTTCAGGTCAAGATTCCATTTATGGGCCTCTGTCAGGCAGGCCTTCTGGTCGCCAGATTCCCCGGGGCTCAGTCTGCTTTCCAATACCTCTTTTCTCTTGGGACTGTCGTCTCCGGGACTTGCTAATCTCAGACTCTCCTCTGGAGTTTCTCCAGGGCTCAGCCTCCATTTCTGAGCCTCTGCAGGGCTCTGCCTCCAGTCTCGAGCGTCCGAAGTCCTGGAACATGACTCTTGGGCTCCCCCTGTCAACAGCCTCTTATCTCTGGCCTCCCTGGGACTTAGCCTCTCTTCTCTTGACTCTCTTCCCTTGGGGCTCTGCTCTCTTAAATTACTAGGACTTGATCTCCGATCTAGAGCCTCCAGAGGCCCAGGCTTCCTATCAGCAAGTACTTCATTTCGCTGCTGCTGCTGCTGCCGTTGTCGCTCCTGCTGAATGAATCGGTTCTGATGTACTGGCCCAATAGCCTCCAAGAGGACAGCGGATTCATCTGGGTCCGGAGGTCCAGCCTCTGCGGTCCCAGGCACAGGGCTCGCCTCTCCAGGAGGCAGGCCCAACTTGGCCTTGCGACGTTCCAGGATTCCCCGCTTCCAGGCTGGCATCTGGGACAGGCGATCCCGTTCTGCTTTCTCACGGCCACGAACTGCTGCCTCCTCCTGCCGCCGCCGGGCTAGCAACTGTAGCTTCCAATCTGGGATAGCAGTCATGATCACTGGAAGTGAAGGAGAGAGCACTGGGGGACAGGAACAGAAAGGGTAGGCTTCAGAGGGGCCAGGGGATTGAGAATGGGGGTGGGAGAGGAGGAAGTGATGCGGGAATAGACTAAGAACTGAGGACAGTGGAACTAAGGATGAAGATAGAGGGGAACAGGGAGAGGAGGGAGGGCAGAAGAGGCGAGAGCTAAAAAAGTGAAGAGAAAAGCTGGGTGCCAAGTTGGGGGTGGGGATAATGGGAGAGGAAGAGTCGAGATTCCGGGCAGAGGCAGCGCCAGATTGGGGGTTTGTAGGCACTAGACAGTCCCTAAGATATGAGAAAGAGAGGGAAGGAAAAGCAGGAGAGAGAGAGAGAAGACGGGGAAACTGGGGCTGAGAAGTGAGCGGGTTCAATCGAGGCTGCCTACCCCCGGTACCCAGGGGAGGTAAGTGGGAAGAAAGAAAAGGGAACCGGCTGGCGAGGGGGCGGAGGGGTCGGAGGGGATGTGAGAAGGTGAGGATAAATGTAGAGGGCAGAGGTCCGGGGGAGAAGGGGAGAGCGGAAAGCCGGCAAGGGAGCGGGCGCCTCTACGCACGGGCCCCGCCGGTCCCGGCTGCCTTCCCGGCTGCGCTCGGCCCCGCCCCTCAGTCCGGCCCCCACCCCACCGCGTACTCCGCCCCAGAGGCGGGTCAGGGGAAATACCCTCCTCGGGGACTTTTGGTACCCGAGCGGGTGTGCTGCCTACGCATTCTCAGAACTCTGGCGTCCACCCGCGTCCAGTCCCTTCAACCTCGCCTGCCTCCCCACCAACTACGCCCTAGGACCCGGACGCTCGGAGGACCCGCTTCATGCCTCTGCTGTCCCCAACCAGGGACCCCGCTCTCAGGGGGACCTTGACCCAGAGGGCCATGCACCCGCGGGAACTGCACGGACATGCAATCTCTGCACAAAGGGGAGGCACTCCAAGGGAGATCAGGAGACACTTCTCTTAAAGTGGGAGCCCCACAGTCAACTTACACGCCTTGTGGTCCCTAGGAGGAGGTGCGGTGGAGCCAGGCGTTGGAAGAGGAGAGAGTCAAAGGGAGATCTGGAGGGAGGGTGGGAAGCAGAGGAGGAGGGAAGAGGGCGCCTAGGAGGAGGGACGGAGACTCAGACGGGGGCCAGGCGGGGGCGGCGACCGCTTTGTCTACGGACAATGGGGCGAGGGAAGGGGGCGCAGGGCGGAGCCGGGCGAAGGGCGGGGCTTCGCTGCCCTCCTTCCCGCGTGGGACTCTCGTGGCACTCCTCTCTTGCAGTGGCAATCCACAGCTCTTCGTTTTCTGTTTCCAGAGGCCCTCACCCACTTCCTCTGGCAGCCCTGGAGAAGCTGGGTGTCCAGACCTATTGCTCCAGCTGGCCGACCCGGGGCGGCGGCCCGTGACTCAGGCCCCCTGAGGGACATGGGGAGGAAGCGGCAGCTGCTTGGAGTCAGACCCGCCCTTCCCATCACTCGCCGCCCCTCCCCGTGCTTTTGCTTTCCCTGGCCAGTCTTTGTTACCGTGGTGGTGTGGGCGGCTGCCAGGCCCCAGAGTCTAAGGAAAAATGGCTTTGGGAGTTTGCTCCCCTCCCAGAGATACTCTGTCTCCCATGGGTTCCCTGATCTCTACGCGGAGAAACTGTAATATTTGGAAGAAGCAGGACTGGGTGACTGGGACATGGGGGCGGGCCCGTGGGGTGTGGCCCCACCCCAGCGGTCGTCAGAGGCTGCTGCCACAAGAACTTGGCCTCAGCTTCCTTCCCACACTTGGTCCGGCGGCTTGAAAGACATGGACAGACAACTGGGTACCATACGTAGAAATTTTTAATTTTTTGAGAGAGCAGGGAGCCCTGAGTCAGCCCGAGTTAAAAAACAGGAGACACCTAGGATCTGTAGGGCAGGACCTATAAGGAGGTAGAGAAATGATGGCAGGAGTGGGGAAGACGCACAGTGGTACAAGAGATATCCACTACCTGCAAACTTTGCGGGCTGGCCCTAGCATAGCTCTTGAAGTGGAAACTAGTAAGGGGATCCCTGAGGTGCAGAACCAATAACAGCACCAGAGGAGGGAGTGCTCAAGGCCTTGTGTTAACCCCAAGAGATGACATGACTTTGTACCCACTCTTGGTTGGTGAGAAATGGACCCTGGAGGCCAGTGACTGAAACTCTAAATTTAGAGTAGGGGATCTGGACCCTGGAACTGAGGTCTCAAGCAGGGGAAGTGACAGCCCCTTCAGCACATGGTTTCCAGCTTCTGGTCTGTATCAAAAGGTCTGGAAGCTAAGGGATTTTTGAGGAAGAACAGGACCTAGAAATGGAGCTAGCTCCTCACTCTGCTTCTCCATCCTGGGGTCTGGAGAGAAGCTGGAGTTTTCTTTGTAACTGAGACCGAAGGTAGCGGAGGTCTTGCTGGTCAAGCCCGTGAGCCAAGCCGAGGTAGAGGGTAAGGAGAAGAGCCAGGAGGAGGCGGTCAGTGCCCAGGGTGGGAACCACCCACAGCACCGTTAGAAGTTCCACACATACTGGGTGTCGAAGGTGGGAAAAGAGCCTCAGAGCCCGAGGAGACTTCAGAGCCAGCGGCTCACCCAGTCCTAGTACGTGGTAATATACCTAGGAGAGAGGGAAGAGCCCCGAAGTCAAGCCAGAGCCTCTGGCCCAGGCATCCTCCTCAAGCCCAGAGACGATCAGAAAAGGAGGCAAGGGACTAGAGAACCAAGAGCAATCAGAGTATGGGAGGGAGAGAATGGTAGACTCAGGCAGGGATGTGGGATCCTCACCTGTTTGAGGCCCATGAGTTCAGCGTAGTCAAAGACCAGAAGGATGCTGAAGATGAGGAGCCAGGAAATGACGTGGAGCACAAAGCAGAGGAGGGGCACCCAGGTGGCCCAAGGTTCAGCTCGAGCCTCCCACAACACTGGGCCCCTGGGTACAGTCTCCCAGTACCGCATCACCAGCTGGGGAAAGATGAGAAACCAAGCATGCCAGTGATCTCCCTGGCTCCACAGTAACCTACCGCTCTTTCCTCTGAGTATAAACAATAAATATCATGAAGAGAGCTCGGGATGGGGTATGGAGGATATGAGGATGATCCATTTCTATACAGGATTTACAAAACGGATGGGATGGGGGCTGCTGGATGCCTACCAAACTAGCCTATGACAAACACCCAGTGAGAAGACTAATTGGAAGGCTTCTTCTCTTGAAGACCTAGGTTTGGAAGACGGGAACTAAGAAGGATTTAAGATTTGAAGCAAACCAGGCAGTGGTGGCGCAGGCCTTTAATCCCAGCACTCAGGAAGCGGAGGCAGGTGGATCTCAAGGAGGCAGGAGGGAGTTTCAGGATACCCAGGGATATGCAGAGAAACAAAGAAACAAATTGAAACAAGACAACATGAACAAAGTTGCAAGGGTGAGACTCCTCAGGCTGTGCTGCGGAATGTCAGAAACACAGGACTCTGCTGATGAATGGAGCATGTGCTCTGGGGGAGCCGAGATTCGCGATTCGCATCTTCTGCTTTCTTTCTTTTTTTTTTTTTTCTTGGTTTTTCGAGACACTCGTCTTGTCCCTCCAGTGTAAGCACGCCACGAATTATGTCTCCCGTGGCCAAGGCCTCATACCTGCAAGGCCAGCGCAGTGCAGGCCACGTACAGTGACCTCTGAAGGACTCCAAAGTACCGGGATGTCCACGCCTTCACTGTCTCAGTTGCCATGAGGCTATGTTGCACCACAAACAATAGCAGAAGCCCAAGATCCCAAGCCAGGGAGGTAAGAACGCTTCGGTCCTGCAAGGCAGCCAACCACCCATAGCGGGCATCTGAGGGAGTTGGTTAGGGAAGACAGGGACAAAGGATCAGTTAAGGCTAGAACATTCCCCTTACCCTCATCTTCTTTTGGAGCCCTATTCCACGTCCCTGAAGTTTTCAAGATCTTGTCAAGGCCAAGCCCAGTTTAATTTCCTGTTCCTTCTCTAGCCTTCTTTGGGGAAGATTCTTAGAATGCCGGCAGGGTCATTATTAAAACCAATGCGGGAGTGCTGGAGAGATGGTTCAGTCCATGTAGTGCTATGTAAGCACCTGAATTCAATCCCTGGCACCCCTGCAAAAAGCCTGGCATGGTGGGGTATGCCGATAATCTCAGTGCTGGGGAGACAGAGGCAGGAGAACTCCAGAGGGGCTGGTGTCATGGATTGGCGGTTAAGAACACCTGCTGTTCTTCCGGAGGAACCAATTTGTTTCTCAGCACCCACATAGCAGCTCACAACCATCTATAACCCCAGATCCAGGGGACCCATCTGACCTAGTTGATAGGCTTCTGGTGTCAGTGACAGAATCTGTCCCCAAAATACATGGGAGGCGGAGGCAGGTGGACCTTTGAGTTCCAAGCCAGCTGAGGGTACATAGTAAGACCCTGTCTAAAATAAGGTGGCTAGACCCTGAAGACAGACACTCAAGGCTCCCTTCAGCTGCACCTGCACACACACAAACAGAAACACAAGCACACACTCCACATATTCTCTCTCTCTCTCTATTTCTCTCTCTCTCTCTTTCTCTCTCTCTCTCACACACACACACACACACACACACACACACACACACACACACAGAGCAAGGTTAGAGAAATTGCCTTTGGTGTAGTTTTCTTTTTTGTTTTTCTGAGACAGGGTCTCTCTACATACATAACCCTTACTCAATAGACCAGGCGGGCCTTGAACTGAGAGATCGCCTTGCCTCTGCCTCTGGAATGCTAGGATTAAAGGTGTGAGCTACCACAGGCCCACTGTCGCGGTTTCCTAATGTTTCCTCCTTTCATCTTTCCCGTTCCTAGTTTTCCCCACAAACGCTACCCCCACCGCGCCCTTACTCGGTCAGTCCTCACTCCCCAGCTTCTACACAGGACGGACTAATCTTGGAGTTTCTGATTTAGCCTTCTGTTCCCTTCCCGTTGGCGCCTCGCAGTTTTGGCCTTTCCCTGTCATTTGTTTCCACGCCCCGCCCTCTCCACGCTGCGCTGGCTCCTCCTCTCCGCTTCGGCTTGCCCAGGATCCCTGCGGCTCACCCGGACCACCGGACTCCGGGATCCCTCCGAGCAGCGGCCGCAGGGAGGTGAAGCGCACGAACTCCACTCCGGTGCCAAAGGCCAGGATGAAGGAGGCGAGGGCCGCTGGGACCAGCAGCAGCGCCGGGGCCATGGCGAGAGCCTAGGAGCTTGCGGAGGAGGCGGGCTCGGGGTTCCCGCGGCTGCTGGCCCCGCCCAGGTTCCGCCTTCGTGGGGCGCTGGCCTCAGGGCGGGGACCGCGAGAGGCGCGTCATAGCGCGGAGCCTGGAACCCTAGTCGTCGTCAGGGCAGCGGCTCTGCAGCCACCCGCGTGGGTCGAACCTCAGTGCGGCCGGTGTTCATGTGGAGTGGAAAGTGAAGACAGAGCCTCCCTTGCGTGCAAACCAGACCTCAGTCCCTGGTCTGCTGGGGTTGCAGGCGGCGCCACTACGCCCAACATAGATTTTTGTTTAGTGGTCGTTTTAGAGCTGTTCGTGATGGTTTGTGCCTGTAATTCCACTACTCAGAAGGCTGAGGCAGGGAGATTTGAAGTTAGCTTAGACTGCACATAGAGACCCGGTCCAAAAGGGCCATAAGAAATAAAAAAGACCAGGTGGTGAAAGGATCTGTCCCCACTGTAGCTATCCGAGTACATGGTCCTCAGAAGACACGAACTTATTCCTTTAGTTTTTTTTAAAAATATTTATTTATTTATTATGTATACAATATTCTGTCTGTGTGTATGTCTGCAGCCCAGAAGAGGGCACCAGACCTTATTACAGGTGGTTGTGAGCCACCATGTGGTTGCCGGGAATTGAACTCAGGACCTTTGGAAGACCAGGCAATGCTCTAAACCTCTGAGCCATCTCTCCAGCCCCTTATTCCTTTAGTTTACAGATAGAGCAGGGCCAGGGAGATAAAAATACCCACGACAAGCAAAGGCAAGGCCCTCAAGTTGAGGGATAGAGGAACATCCTAGCAGCACCCAGCCTGGGCGCTCCCACAGCCTCTGGATCAAACTGCCATGCATTGTAAAGCGCATTTCCTCCCCACCCTGCGCTCGGCTTGGGAAATTTGTACTGAATGGGCTGCGTCCGAGATATCAGTCTTTTTGAGTTTTGAGGAGGTTCTGTCTGCATACTGCTCTCTCCACTTATTTAAATAGCAGAATCTTCATGTAGCCCAAGCTAGTGTCAAACTTGGCAATTATGTAGCTGAGAATAGTCTTGAGCTGATTGATGTTCCTGCCTCTGCCGCCTAGTGCCAGGATTGCACTGGAGCACCACAGTCTAACTCCACTGTTCTAGGAGCTCTGAGCGGTCCCAGAAGGGCTTGTAGGTGGAAAACGAGGATTGCACTAAGCTTTGCGGTTTCTCTTTATCCTGCTTCACCCTTAAAAACATTCATAATTCAAGACCTAGAAGGGGGGGGGGAGCTGGAGAGATGGCTCAGAGGTTAAGAGCATTGCCTGCTCTTCCAAAGGTCCTGAGTTCAATTCCCAGCAACCACATGGTGGCTCACAACCATCTGTAATGGGGTCTGGTGCCCTCTTCTGGCCTGTGGGCATACACACAGACAGAATATTGTATACTAAATAAATATTTTTTTTTTTTTTACAAAAAAGACCTAGAAGGGCAGATGCCTAGGGCTCACTGGCCTAGCCAGCCTAGCCTAACCAGGAGCTTCAAGTCCCAGTGAGATACCCTGTCTCAAAGAAAAAATGGACTCCTGAGGAAGGACATTTAAGGCTGACTTCCGGTTTCCACAGGCACTATATTAATAAAGGTCCAGGACTAAAGTTTAGTGGTGAAACATTTACTTGAGCAATATTGCTGCAAGCCTTACCTTAGATTCAACCCCCAGCACCACCCCCCCAAAAGAAAAATCATAAAGTTTCAGCATATACTTGGGGTATAAATGAGTTGTAAAGCAATTGCCTAGCGAGAGCAGGGCTCAAAACGACGCCTACCACATGGAGAGAAAGCAGGCTATATATACTCCACCAAAGTAGTTTTCTTTTTTTTTTTTTTTTAAATTTATTTATTTATTATGTATACAACACTCTGCCTCTACCCGCATGCCAGAGGAGGGCGCCATATGTCAGAACAGATGGTTGTGAGCCACCATGTGGTTGCCGGGAACTGAACTCAGGACCTCCGGAAGAGCAGCCAGTGCTCCCAACCTCTGAGCCATCTCTCCAGCCCCCCAAAGTAGTTTTCTAACACAGTTCACAGCAGAAAAGTATACAAAGCTAGCAACTATGTTTTTATTGAAATGAAATTCATGTAGCAAAGCATTTAGTACAGTAGCATTTGATATTCTGCACTATGTACAACCACTTCCTCTTTCTGGCTCCCCACAGTGAAACTCTCCCCATCCTTGGAGTCTGGGATGCACTGATGTACTCTTAACTTGGTGCATTCACCTATCCTGGATATTATCACGCAGGTAGAATCAAATGTCCTGAGTGTCCCTGACACTCATCATCAAATACTGGGTTTTTACTTCATGTCTGAGCATTCCTTTTGGTACACACAGCATATTTCATCTTTGCTGGACAAACATCTACAGTTTCTCTTTTTGGTTTTTCAATACAGGGTTTCTCTGTGTAACAGCCCTCTTTGGCTGTCTTGGAACTAGCTCTGTAGACCAGGCTGGCCTCGAACTCAAGAGATCTAACTGCCTCTGCCTCCCAAGTGCTGTAATAAAAGGTGTGTGTTAACACTACCCAGTCATCTATACTATTTCTGTATTTATTTCTGTAATAAGGGACTGGGAATGAGGCATAGCGGCAAAATCATTGCTTATCAAGCATAAAGAAAAAAAGCCCCACCCAAAAAAACAAAAACATTTATCAAGTGCCTGTTTTCCACTGTTGAGTCTTGTAGTTTTAGATTGGGCTACTTTGCTAAGTAGCCAAAGCTGACCTTGAACTTCTGATCCCACTGGCCTCTACCTGGACTGTTCAGATAAGAGGTCAAGTATAGAATTTTCCAATAGGAGAAAGAACAGCATTGCTGGTCATATGGTAAGCAGGTAGGTCAAAAGAATACTGACCTATCGTAAAAATTATGAAAGCTAACCACAAAAAAACATTAAAAAAAAAAACTTTTCAAGGCAGGGGTTTTACTCTGTAGCCCAGTCTGAACTGGAATTTGTGAACTTCCTGCTTCAACCCTCCTAAGTAGTGGAACTACAGGAACTGAGCGAGTGACTTAACTTTGCCCTCAACTTTAAAGGAACTTTTCAACTGTTCATTGCGGAGGCTAAACCAAATACTAGCAGTGCCCAAGAGTTCTATGCTCTCCACATCTTGGAAAGTGGCCAACTCTTAAAAACAAATACAATTTGCTCTAAATCAATGTTGATGAAGGAGTGCAAGTTCAGACTGTCTGTGTTGCCACACCAGAAACTCGCCATCAGGCAGGCTGCGTGAGCGCCAACCTACAGAGACGACCACAGCTAACAGCAAGCATTGCAAAAGCACATGAACACCCTTTCTAACTGGGCCAGTCACAGACCAGAAAACATGCGGTGAGCCACTTGCATCTTCTCAGTCAGGCACTCCTGGGAGCTGCTTTACTTAGTAAAGTAAGAATCCTGGGAAGAGCCAGGCACTGGTGGCACATGCCTTTAATCCCAGCACTCGGCCTTTAATCCCAACAGGCAGGGGGATCTCCGGTGAGTTCGAGGCCAGCCTGGTCTACAAGAACTAGTTCCAGGACAGACTCCAAAAGCTACTGTCTAAAACAAAACAAACAAGAATCCTGGGAAGAAAAGGGAAGTGACAGCTTCCAAAGAACAGGCCCACCAGGGTGCTGGGCCTGGAACAGCAGTTTCACCAGAGCAGCTGCAGGCTGCTGACTGAAGCAGGGCCCTCACCACGACGACAAGTGCTCTGCCACACAACTACCCCCAGCTTGGGTTTGGACAATATAAAACTGGACATCTTAGGGAAAAAAGTCCTTTTTTATTTTTTTCTTTTTCAAAAGCTCTGTGGCCTTACCCGCACATTCCCAATACCTTAGGTCTTTGTGAAGGCCTGAGGGTTTTTTGTTTGTTTGTTTTTTGGGAAAGGATCTTATTATGTAGCCCTGGCTGGCCTGGAACTCACAAAAATCTGCCTACCTCTGCCTCTCAAGTGCTCAGATTAAAGGTGTGGACTACCATGCTGGGTCTTAATTGTGTATTTATGTTTCTTTTCCAAGTGTTTTCTAGGAGTGTTTGCTGGTAGATTTGTATTTTTTAGGAAGATAACATTTCTAAATTGGAGAGGACAAAGGCCTCTGGTGTGGCTTCCTGCTTCAGCACTCCAGTCAGGAGGAACTCAGAAGAGAGGAGGGGCAGCCCCAGGCGAGTGGGGACAGCACAGCAAGGAAGGTCTTCAGTGCAGGTCACGACAACTCGCTGAGGCTGTGAGGAGCAGAAGAGACAGAGTTAGGAAGAAAGGAACCTAGGAATGGATCAGGATGCCCTAAGCAGCCTCAGAACCGAGACTATATATATCTACAGTCATACACACAGACATGCGCGCACAAACATACAAAGCATACATGAAGTACACTGGCCTGCCTATCAAGTATTCTTGCCCCAAAGGTTAACTCAAAACAGATCAGCCTACCTTCCACTTTCTTTTTTGAAAAGCGGTTTCATACTGAGCTGGCCTGAAATTTACTTCGTAGCTAAAGATGATCTTGAACTTCTGGTCTTCTTGCCTCTACCTCAGATGCTGGGATTACAGGCCAGTTTATGTGTGCTAGGCGTCAAACCCAGAGCTGCTATATATGCTACCTAGGCAAGCAGCTGCCATGTGAGCCCCCATTGCTGTTTTTATAATTATAATTTGCATACACCAAGCCGGGCGGTGGTGGCGCATGCCTTTAATCCCAGCACTCAGGAGGCAGAGGCAGGAGGATCTCTGTGAGTTTGAGGCCAGCCTGGTCTACAGAACTAGTCCAGGACAGGCTCCAAAGTTACAGAGAAACCATGTCTCGGAAAAAAAAACAAAAAACAAAACAAAAAAAACCTCCCACCAAAACCAAACCAAAAAAACCCTCCAGCAGTGTCAGAAGGTCGAGAACTGCTGGGTTAAGTGTAAGGGGCTGCTGCTAGATTGAGGCCACCCTGATTACAGACTTTTAAAAAAAAGGATACATGCCGGGCGGTGGTGGCGCACGCCTTTAATCCCAGCACTTGGGAGGCAG